ATACTGTCTTTGAAGGTTTCCTGAAATGTTGATGACTAATGTTCCTACCAACTACGCATTTATAATTTTCATAAAGCACCATGGAAAATGTTGAAGATACTGACATGGTTTCAAGGAACTGTAGTTTCCAAAACACGAAGCCCGCCACCACTTCATATCTTTGGTATCGGAGAGGCGATGGCGGTGGTAGTAGAAGTGTTTAGAATATTTAAGTTTGCACTTGTCGCAAAGACTTAGTAGGACGCTGATGTTAACGTAAAGTTGTGGGGCCCAAATGTGGGCGAATTATGTTCAAGATGCGAGTGAGTGTGAAGAAGACTGTTCAATGGAGCTTCGTTTTAACAACTTTGTACATAGCCTCAGTACATTTCTTTTCGAAACGGTCAATCTTATCGGATCGTAGGCCGAGCTTAGATCGCGGTGAGCGGAGCTGGGACAAGACCAATGATGTGCCAGCCCGTTCACCCAGCCGTAAAGATCGAGTGATTCAGAGTCTTAGCCAAAAGCGAAATAAGTCGGTAGGTTATGGAAACCAGGAAACAGAACATAACATTAATAATTTAATATCAGATTCCGCGTTTATTGATAATGAAAAAGACAGGCTAGAATTCCAAAGAAACCATGAACGACTACTACCACCGCCCGAAGGAGTGAAACAGCTTAACCCCTCCAAAATTTTATCTGGAAACAGAACGTTATTTACTGCTAATAATAACTTCAGAAAAACACTTTTGTCTGATATATTTATTGGAATGAAAACGACAGAAAGATATCACAGGCAAAGACTAGATATACTTCTTGAAACATGGGTGAAAAGAGCAAAAGAAGAGGTAAGTTTGTCACTATTGGTTGTATTGTAGAATACTTATTTAATAAAACCAGGGAGTTGTTATAGTGTTGTTACATTATAACAACTCCCTGATAAAACCAAGTAAAAATATGTCACTACTGTATTCTTGCCTTTCTTTTGATGCAGTTTATTAAATTGAGTTTTAAGTTAGGATTCTGGCCACATAAAAGTTTGAGTTTTCAATCCATTTTGCTTGCAAAAAAATACTTTACAAAGCTGCTCACAAAAAGATACCCTAACTTGTTGTATCATCGTACTGTAAATACAAGGACAGATTAGATGCATTACTTTCCATGTGTTGCACTATTTAAAAAAAAAAAAAATTATTTCAGAGGGCCCCTGAATATCAGTTAACCTACTGGGCTAAACTGAAAGGGTTACCCTCTTTAAAGATGGTTGAAATAAAATAAATATAAAAAAAACAGCAAACGGATACATACCGTAGCATAACAAAAGCAAAACCAAGCAATTTACAGTAAAGTTTTACCCTTATTTGTATATCTAATAAATTGTTACTATAGTTAAGTAATTAAACTGAATGAAACACACTGAGCTTCACAAAAACCTGTACTTAGTAGTCGTGTGAAATTATAGTCGATTATTTATTTATTTTATTTATTTATTATATTTATTTATTAATTATCTTTTCTATGGACCAGGGCAGAGTCAAAGTCAAATTCAGTATAACATTACAGGCTCTTTTACAGCTCATTGCATTTTGTCTCTTACAAGTGCATAAAAATGTTAATTCAAAGTAACTTGCAATATTCAAAATATTATAGATTTGTACCAATTATAATTTAACGATGGAAATTTTATGCAACCTTGAAGTAAGTACTTTAGTTAACATCGCACAAAAATTGAGAATTTTTTTGCAAAATCAATATATTTTATATACGCTATATACGAGTGAAGGAATTGGGGTACCGAAAAAGAGTACTGTTTGTACACTGCAAAAATATTGATAATTGTGAACCAAAATAGGGGCCAAGATTTAAATGTGTTGAATAAACATGTTTTATTTTGGTTTAATCATATGTGAAAGGAAAAACAACATTGTAACTTGTATTGTATGTTGATTATCAAGTGAGTTGTATTTAATTTGTTGCTAAGGATAGGTTGATTTGACTAATTTATATATATTACTGAAGTTTGAAACTCAAATGATAAAACTATGTATTGCAAAGTTTATATACTGCAATGCTGGCAAAATATGCTTTTACCTATATGGCTATAACCACATCATAATTTAAAGAGCTTCGATTTCACCTTTTCGAGCTCACCCCTTTGGACCATTATTCCGTTAGTTAATTAACAACAAAGACATGGCACGCTTGTTGAGAAATGAACAACAATTCGATTGTTGATTAGGAAGCATGAGATTAATGTCAAAAGAACGATCAGCTCTGTCACAAATGACTTAATGATTAAAACCATTTTGACCTTTTTGATTCTTTTGGTGTCCGCTGTATATTGGTGACCCAGAAATGGTAATTATTATTGTTTTCTTTCTTTTAAATCCATATTTTCCACAACTGTATTGTTAACAGAAAGAGCTTAGCAACTGTATTAATGCAAAAGACCTTTCTGTGCTTCAAGTGTTTAAAATCAGCACTTGAAGTTGAATTAACAATGCTTCATTAAATTCCATTCAGTCGTCATAATTCAGTGATTAATTATACTTATTGTGATTACAGACTTTTTGTAAAGATTCATGGCAACCATACCGGTGATGTTTTCTGGTCTTGTATGCCCATATATAGTCATGATGTGCCTATATATGGTCATGATGTGATGCCACCATGACCATATTTAGACATGTCACATGTTTTTTTTCAACTAAATTTTGATAGTTTGGACAGCTAGGGCTTTGGAGAGATCATTGAATTTGGTTCAAATTCTTTATATGTTCTCTACTCATTTTGAAAGCCTTGTTATTAGCTCCGATGAGAGGAGCCTCTAGCATCATGCGGCTGATTGATTAATAGATCTCTTTTGTATGGGCAGCCGTGCCATTAAGGCCACTACTATAGAATCTCCTCGGAGCTTTTGAGATTACAAGAACTTGTTATATTATATTTTTGGTCCAAAAGTAAAAAATCATAGTACCATTTGTACCACACTTTAGGGCACACAGGGATGAAGGGTCCATGACCAAAACAAATTTTAACAAACTGTTTAATGTTTTTCTTTCTAACAAAATATGAATAAATAGGGACCCAGGTAAATGCATGGGCCCTGGACCCAAAGAAAATATGATTTTTTTTAAATGAATCTGCACTAGTTTTGATTATTAAAACAAACTTTGATTATTAATAGAAAGCACACTACGGCACCTCAACTAAACTAAAGCTCTGTTCATTACTATGAAATTCTATGTGAAAAAAATATGACATCATTCCCATACTGTATATGCAGTGGCGGATCCAGGTGGGGGGGGGGTTCAAGGGGTTCGGACGAACCCCCCTCTGTGAAGAAATGTAACAAAATACAAGGGTCCTGGCTTACAAAAAGCATGCTAACCTACAGTACCTGGAAGATCAGACAAACTAGGCTTAGCCCAACTAGTTTTCAATTAAATAAATTATACACACTGTTTTTGGTCGAAATAATTTACTGTATGTACGAAAGTGAGTTCTTCAGGCCTATCGGTTCATCGATCCATGGAAGAAAGACTACATACCTATCTACTCAATATTGTTGGAATATAATAATATATTGCCTGCTTTGTGAGGAATATAATAATATATTGCCTGTCTTTGTGATGACACTTGTTGTTTTATATAGTTAGCCCTCCAATTCGGGACCGCCTTTGGGACCTTAAATTTGGAGTGGTCTCAGGGTTTGGTCTCCTACAGTATTTGAGGGTTGTTTATACTTGGTTCTTCAAAAAATTCATCTCAAATCACTGTCTGTATAAACTTATAAACAAACACTGTCTGTATAAACTTTATATTATAAAGTCAAATACTGTATATTTTACCATGTGATGAATCTCATTAATTGAGATTCATTTATCACATGGTAAAATATACAGTATTTGGTTGAAATGGAATAATCTACTGTAATTTCAATTTTTGATTATATTGTACCTGTATGAAGAATATTTTATTTACAACTCAAAAACATCTGTTAAATTATTATATTCAAAGTGCATTGTAAGCACAGGTGGATGATCCTTGTATCAAGGTTGTTAAGTGTACTGTAATACCTTGGTTATGACCGTCATGATTTTAACTTGTGCTGCAAAAAATACAGTATGAACAGGTTACATCAATTAATATAGAAAACAACATACAGCTGTTAACATAAAAATGTATTACATTTTTATTTTTAAATAAATATCAATTACATACAAAGGTAATAATTTACTTGCACTTTTTGTATTGAAGTTTATTCTTTGTTAATTATGGTATAAATGGCCTGATATATGTTAGTTTATCAATTATGAGAAGGCAGCAAATATATATATATTTTATTTTATGAAGTATTCACACCTCGGGGCGGAAGCATGGGGTGGACCGCTTCAAAACCCATCAAGACTGCAAGGTGGGGTATTTAAGCATGGCCAGGCGAGAATGTACAGCATGGGGTTTGAAATCCCGACCATGAGGTTAAGAACCTGAATGTAAATTGTTACATTGAACCACCTTCAGTTATTTTTAATGCTAATTGATAGAGTATATCATTATCAATCCTACTATGTATACAGTAGGCTATAGAGTACAGTCGTGTCGTCAAGACGCCAGGCGGAGCTCTCTGTTGTCAACAGGCATTGGTTACAGTTCATTACGCCTGAATGACTTAATAGGCTTTCTGGATATAGGCATTTTAAAATCTAATATTTTGCCATCAAAATGTACTAAAAACACAAAAGCTCGCATTATATTACTTATCAAACACACATTTAATAATCAATTAAAATTTACAAAGAAAAAATAAAGATGCAACATCTTAATAATTATGTTAGAAATTGGGATCAATGATTTGTCAGTGAAGAAAATGGCATCCACTTGAACGTTTTTTGCAACGATAGCAATGGAGTACATGTAGTATGACATGGTATCGTGACGTTACACTGTAGTACTCTATTAAGATAACAAAATATGTAAAACTATGGCATAAAAAATTAGATATGCCAGTTCACAAATCAAGTTATAAATAGCCGTGTTTTGCAGATTGTTTTGTCTTTTGTTTGTTTATTTATTTGTTTATTTATTCAGGTATAAGAACATACAACTATACAAGAGTGAAACAACTGAATACAAATGACACAACCATTCAAATATAATCTAAAAAAAATACAATAACAAATTTACAATTCAATTACCAGTACAATTAAATTTAAAAAAAGAACTATGCAATATTAAATTTTGCAATAGTAGGAATAGCTGATTCTTAAATCTGATAGCAGCATTTAGTTCTCTACTGAAAAATGTGATATTCATTGAATAAATTATTTTAATAATAATTGTTAAGTGTTCTTGTTTTTTGATTTGAACAATATTAAAAAAGAAAGAACAATAGATAAACCAGAAAAAAGCTTGAGCGAGGCCTGAGTAATTTCTTATTTCCTGTGAGTATTAAGTAACCTTGTATTGTAGTCACAAAAATATTCTGTGAATTGTAAATGAATACATTAAATTTACATCAATGCAGTTATAAGTAAACACAATCAGTGAAGTCAATGCATTAGTTTCTAGGCCTGTAGTCTGAGGCCAAATACAAAAAAAAACATGCATTCCTTGTCCTCTTTTTTTTTTTGAAAACTTTTTTTCACTATTCAAACACCCAGAAATTGTTGCAAAACATAAGGATCCTTGTAAGCAATTAGTATCTAAGTGTTCCCAGTTAAAATTCATGCACTTCCTGTCGATTTGAAAGAAGTGGATTCGATGCCTCTATTCAAACTTTCCCCTTCTTTTCTCTGAGTGTGAGCTTTGAAAGGCACTTTGTTCATTGTAGAGTGCTATATAAGAA